CCCCGAACCCCTCGAGCCTTGTACAACTCGCTTCGGTTGTACTCCCGTTCCTGAACCTCGCTTCCAGAACTCTTGCCTGTTACTATCGTGGTGTGCCTTGGGCTACCCGACCCTTAGACCCTGCCCGTTACATCAATATAGTGTTAGGGGGTAGGTAACTCTAAAGTCAAGCGAGTATACACTAGGCCCTGTAATCTTCTGTCTGGGAGATAGTCAAGAAGGCTCGTAAAGATAGAAGTAAAGTAGAACGAATATATTGATAAGATCTCTTCTCCGGTCGCTGATGATAGACTTAAAGCTAGGGAGGCACCTCGATATTTATAGTCCACGTCTGGGTGGTCGCGGCCTACATCCAATCCCTTACTGACTATGTACCTGCCATACTAACGATTCAGTGTCTTCAGAGTGGGCACTCCGTTTGACCTTGAAAACTAACTTCCCCGCTCTCTTCCTAAGTGGAGTGATCAGCTCCGTTCAAAGGACTTATCAATGACTCTTCTATGTGCATAGCTTAGAGTGCATGACGAAGATAACTAACTCGACTAACGAGTTGTTATTAACTAATCGTAAACTAGTCTCCGGATGACTCTAGTTATACGCGAGCAGAGGATGGTGCGGCTACTTCTCGGAATAGCGCACCAAGACTTCCAGAGGTCATAGCTCAATAACTAACCGACCAATCTGGTTCAAGTAAGTCTTATCTTATAGAGCGGAGCTCCTTCCATGTTATCCAGCGAAAACCCTTCGGTCGCTTATCTTATCCCATGGATAGTGAAAGGGTAAAGACTTGCATGATGCCTTATCGTTTCGTGCGGTAATGAGATACCGTCACGATAACTGCGGCGGGGCCCGGAGTCGAACACGTGACCTTATGCATTTAGTCACGTGCCGCACCAATTACGCTGTCTAAGTATAACAATGAGCAACCTTACCTGTAAATGATGGTATGCGATGCATGCCTTAAGGTTCTCAGCTAGATGAATACTTCAACAAATAGCTGACAATCAGAATGTACCTATATCAATAGTTGGATAGATATTTGCAGGACCAACAACATCATAAAAAATGTCCTGTATTGGCTGAAAACTTAAGTTCAATATACTACAAAGACAACAGCTGGTAGCCTTAGCTACTTTGGATACTGAACACTGCCATATACGCTTGGTTGATATCGCCAAATAGCTAGGCATTGAGGCTAGGAAGACAGCACTATGAAATGCCTTCACAAAAGAAGGCTACTATCGACAATCAGTCTACCACAAGCCTTACCTTAACAAGACCAACCATACAAAGCACCTTACCTTTGCCTGAAGTCATTCCCATTGGAGTATTCAAGAGTGAAGCCATGTGATTTGGACCGATGAATGTTATATTTAGTTAGGTAGATTGCAGGACAAGGTGCATGTCACTTGTACAGCAGGAGAGGAGTGGCATGAGGACTGTTTAGTTCTAAAATTTCAGAAAGAGGACTCAGTTATGATTTGGGGTAGCATATTGGGAGATGGGGGAAAGAAGGCTCTGGTTATTTGGAGATATGATAATTGGGGCACCATCTCTGCTAAAACCAATGTCAATCACATTTTAGTTTCTATGATTTGACCATTCTGGTATCACAAGAGCTGTCAGATAGGTTCCTCCCTTTGGCTTATGGGGGATAGAGCATCCTCTCATTGGGCTCGCCTCACACAGTCCTATTGGGACTACTACCAGATTCCCTCCCTCAGATGGCTACTGGCATCTCCAGATCTTAATCCCATTGAAAACATATGGAATCTCATTAAGACCCGTATCAACCAGCATCAGCCAAGACCTAAAGGCCATTCACAAGTCAAAGATGCTATCCTCGATGAGTGGAACAAGATCACAATAGAGGAAATTGTAAAGGAAGTTGATAGCATGCCTGAAAGGATTCAAGCTGTCTTCAATGCCAATGGGGGACATACACGGTGGTGAGTAGTGAGTACAACAGCGATTTTTCTGGGTGATTGTCACGTATTTTTGGAGTTTAATTATCAATTCCGATATGTCTTACACCCCTGTCTGCTCCCCTGTCAACCCCCCACCCCGTTTCCCGCTTTTTTCTACCGGGGGCTGTAGTCCGGCGTGTCGATGCAATCCAAACGGACCTAATACCGGAATTGGAAACTTTTAAAAAGATCCTCGCACGTGCCCTGCCCGCTCAGAGAATCTGAATGGATATCCTATCCTCACTTGAGTATGATACTTCTCTCTACCTTCACGCTTCCACGCTGCGTCCCATGAGAATTCTGTTATACCATCTTTGTTGGCTGCTTTAGGATTCACACCCCCCTGCTATCGAACTAGCTCCACCATCCTCTGGTTCGTGCATCTTCCACCCGGCATTGAGGATATGGATCCCTTAGAACAGCGGCGATTCACCTTGTAGTCTGCTACGGAAATTTGAAATGTATGGTTTGGAGCACCACCCCCGGAGAGCTCATAAAGTATAATCCGGTAAATCCTTGAGCAGATTCTGAGGAGTCCACTAGGGTCTCTCCATTCTCGGGCTGGCTTAGTAGCTGCATGGTCCTAGTATCAATCAAAGAATTTAAATTCTAGGCGTTCCTCGCCTTCTCCCACCCACACCCCCATGCGGGTTCTGCAGTTCCCTGCGGTATATCAGACCGGTCAAAATGCTGATAACTGCCATCGGGTGATCTAAGAGCTCCTATGTGTAAGATAAATTTCGCCCATCGATGACGGAACTACCACAAACGGGTTTGGGTGAATTCTAAGTTACTCCTGAAGAGTAAAATGTGTGGGACTACTGGTTGCCTTTTCATCATCGGGAAAATTCCGGGAGCAGAGCCTAGTGAGACTTAAAGAGGAGGAACATCGTGAGTTAAGAAGCCTTCGGTCCCACGTTCTAATGAGAGAACCACTCACAACTCATTGGGGGTTTTTTTTTAAGCGGGTGTACCAAAAGAGAAAACTGCGATTGTTATTCCAAGTTCCTACCGGTGAGGAAATAGCCCGATGTTTAGGCACTCCCGGGAAATGTGCCGTATTGAAGTGCTCGGATATCTACCGGTGCCTTGCAGGTACCTCAACCATATCGTCGGTTTAGGGAGTGCCCGGTAGGGATAGTGACACAAAGTTTATAGACATTCTCCGAATTTCAGGGCTGTGGTGCATGTCACTGTCGACCCCCCCTCTCCACGGATTCGATAGCCTTCTACACTTCGTTTGGTATGGGATCTGATCTGGTGCGACCAGGACATGGTTTAGGAGACCCCCAAGCGCGCTAGCCGCCGACCCTCGTTCTGAATATTAAGTAGGGGAGAGCAGGGCGATTGCAATATTGGCACTGTCAACTCTGCCACAAAGTGTGCCTATAGCATGGTGGCTGGTGTTGCTACTTTAAATATGCATACTCTTATGGCAAGCTGTTCTTGTCTGATAAATATCTTCTCGACCTGAGTACTAATTATAGAGTAGGGCGTTTGGTTTCCTCTTCCCCTTTACCTCCCCGGACAGATTCATATCTGTGAAGAAGCTAGTCTCTTAGTTTAGCCATCCAGTCTACGCCTACATTGTGATGCCTTCCCAAGATCTCATACGAGATAACGGCTCTAGAACTGGGCATCTGGTGGGTTGCAGATCTTTAGCAGTCATACCATGCATTTCTGTAAGCATCCGTGATCCTATCACAATTTATATTTAGCGTAGGGGAGAGCATATTGGCTCGCTACTCGGTCTATCTTACCCTGGTTGTTATTCTCACAATGGCTCAATGGATAGAAGGAGAATTTCCGGGAGTAAAAAAGAAGACCTTGCCGGTGGTGCTCCAGGATGGTGGGAAATCTCCGTAGATGGGAGATATTGCGCCTTCACAAGTGATATGCCACCGTTCGATCATCCCACCGCCCGGAGAAGTGATGGATAGCATTGGAGGATAGCCGGGTTTGCAATTCCACCCGGTTTCTATGTCGATTTCTTGACCTTCACCGATTTTCGTCCCTCCAAAGAACTTGTAAAGGGGTGGGAGCGACTTTTTACTTTTGCTTTTTTTAATGAAGAAAATGAAAATTTCCATCTTTAATTGGGGAATGGCTTTCCACAATTTGTTCACAGATACCGGGCGTCAATAATCACTTATTAGATATCCGTGCGAAACCCTATCGTACCCGGTGCCGACAGACAACATACAGGCAATATATGGAGGTGCAGTGACAGGCGCATACTCAATTGACTATCGAAAAAGCTGGGCTGGACCAGATGGGATCTTCCGCTCTGGGGTGATTATCAATTTGGAAAAAGCTACCGTACCGTTACGAAGCTTACTCAATAAGCTTTCGAGAGTGAGCGGCTTACTGTACAGTACACCCATGTAACATAAGTCTTGGCACCTCCTCATAGTATAATGAGATGAGAATTATACTAAATTTACCACTTTGTATGCCCTCCTTCAGCCTGAATTACAGCCTCAATGCGTTGTGGCATTGTTTCAACCAATCTATCTATATTCTCTTGCTCAATTGCTGCCCATTCCTCAAGACATACACTCCAAATCTCATTCTCTGAGATTGGTTTTCTTGAAAACCGGAAAACCTTAGAAAACCTTCTCCGAAGTCTCCCCTTCCACATCTCCCATACATTTTCAATTACATTTAAATCAGGAGATTGTGGAGGCCATAGCACTTTCTGATATCCTTTTTTCTTTTCTAACATCTTATTTTCCTTCCCCTTATGCCAGCCTGCATTATCTCCAACTACATTTACATTGCGCAGTGATAGACCATTAATATGAGCAAACAACTGACAAAAAGGAATAAGATACGGTCTATGTATCTCTTCAGCAAATTGGTGTGCATCTAATCCAAGCTTATCCTTTGGCTGTCGACGTTCCTGCTCAGTTCGTTGCCAGACTTGCACCAGTTGTGACTTGAAGCCATATCCTACTGCTGCCCAAACATTGATAGGAGTTCGACCCGATTGATAGGTTGGTTTTAAGAGTTTGGTGGAAAGAACTGGCTGAATCAGTTCACTCTGCCATCTGCGGACAGAATTGTTAATGGGACTGGGGTCGAAAACATAAATCGTTTCATCATGAAAAACCGTTCGCTTCCACCAGTGTGCAATATTTTCTTGGCTGGAGTTTGAGACTGCAAACTGTAATCTCTTAGGTGCTGAGGTAGGTCGAAACCAGGGCTTTTTCCGAGTTCGGAGCAGCATGAAAGAATCTTCAGCTGTATTGGCAATTCGCTTAACTGTCATATGGCTAATGGGGTACCTTGGGTGCTCGGTTGCTATCTTCTCTGCAATGTCACGTAGAGGCAATCTCCAATTCTCATCAATCACTTGTTCTACCCAGGGCCGAGTCTGCTGGGTTATGGTTGATGGACGGCCAGATTGTGGTGCATCACCAACATTGAGATATCCCCGGAGATCTGCACACTTAATGACGTTATGCACTTGAGATTTGGCACGACCAGTTTTCTCAGCAATTTGCTGGTAACTCCAGTCTGGATGGTAATGATGAAGAATAGAAACCTCCAAATTTCGGCGCTCCCGTTGCTTCTGCTTTGAGCATGGCGTATGTGGTGGTGACATTTGGGATTGTGGTAGAGGAGGGGCAATGGTCACAGTAGTAGAGGCCTTCATGGCCCCGGCTTCTGGCTGCTAGTAGAGAAAATATTTTCAGTGTGCCAAGACTTTTGTTACATAAGTGTACAGTACATCCATTCCATTCTTTCAACCACAGTATTCAACTCTCACTCCTGATATGATACCATGATTTCTGCATAACAGTTTCGACGCTACATACAGCGTACTCTCAAATCCAGCCGAACCAGAATCTAGAACAAGTTCTATCAAAACCGCAGAAATTTCCATCCTAAAGCTTTGCCTAATGCCTTAATGACAGACATCCAAGTTGAGCAAAGTCCTCATAAATAAAACTCCTGCGACCTCCGAACGTTATGTGGAGCCTGCTGGATCCGGGAGCACGAGACGAGTATCCCCCAATAACGCCACGGTACTCGTACTGTACCCCACGAACTAAATGACGCAGCACAACATGCACATCATACATAGTAATAATAACATTAACAAACCGTTCTGTCGAGAACCCTAACCTTACAAATTCTCTCGCATGATATCCTAGTGAGTAATCAATCCTTCGGAAAAAGTGCCTTTTTTGAAAACGCCGTTGGACTCAGTCTAAGTGCGGATCAATAGCGGAGCAAAAGCGAAACGCCAAGGCTTCCTCGATCAAGGCACAGATTCCCGAGACGATGCTAGTCCACCGTACAGTTACCGGGTTCAATCAGGCAAATAATATTCCTAACAAGGTAAAGTAAAAATGCCGGGAACGCCGAACCGGGGTGCACATCGCGTCCGAGAGGTGCAGTACTGTACAAGTACTGTAAGCCAACTAGCTCCACACACCCCCCCGAGAAGTTAATAGCGCGCTTAGATGGGTTGATAAGTTAGTCAGTTGGGGGGCGGAGGAGAGCGGTAAAACCGCAACGGTACCTAGCATTTTTTTTTATATATATTTTCCCTACCTTCTACTGCAGTAGCGTGGTTTACGTACGCAGAGTTGTGAAATGCCCGTAAGTTAAGAAACAGGTTTTTTTTTTCCAGGGTTTTATAGGTCCTGTGGCTAGACTCCGGCAATTTGTAAATTAACTCGAAGGGGGTTTTTGTCATCGCTTGGGCGGTCTAGAACGGTGGATTATATGATAGGACGATCCTGCTTCGGGGGTGTTCCGGTAGAGTAAAGTGAAAGTGCTCGTACGGTAATGGTACTCGTACTCGTGCTGTGATTCGTTGGTGATTGACGGTTTCTAAGATGCTGAGTCACTTGAGCGCTGAAATGGCCAAATTCGTAATCTGGAGTAGGTAGCTGGCTGCTGACTGATCTAGGGTACGGAGTTTACGGATTTGGACTAACCAAGAGGTATCATAGCCCTCCATGTGATATTGTATAGCTATACGGCAACATGGGATTTTATCTTGAATGTATGGAGGTCGTTGGGGAACGGTACAACACCGGAGAAACTTGGAAGCAACTCGGCGGATCAATCATCGATAGGATATCTCAGTGCTTCTATGCTATATCCCGCAACCAAGCCCTCCATGACCTACGATCGCTATCACCACCACCACCCGAAACTTTCCACACAACCCTTCGCGCAAGCGCAAAGCAAAGCAAGGCTCCACAGTTCTCCCAACCGGTCAGTAGTCACCGAGTGAGATCCCGTGAGAACTTCCATCATCCAATCCCCCCATCTTCCCCACAATCGAATTCTTCTAGATTGAACACGGAACGCTAGAGAAAAACAAACATGTGAAAAGAAAAAAATAGTGTTAATGACACCTTCTCCACCATAGGCGCAGAATGGGCTTTATTTAATCAATATTTACTCCTTGTGTTCGTTCGGAGGGAGGGAGTAATCCGTCCTTTCCCCTGTCCCCCTTTCTCGGAACGGAATACTGGCGATCTTCAGACCTTTCCGGTGTATTTGTGACGGAGGTTAAAGCAGATGACGGCGCACTCCATCAAATAATTATGGGGGGGGTTTTTTTTTTAAGTAGCACTGGGTTGGAGGATTGTGCCTGAGTTGCCTGCCCCTCTTGAAATATATTACGTAATGTTTGGATTTTTTTTTTTCCTCCCCTTCTCTGGGGTATCAGTCCATCTTTTGCTCTACCAACGAGCGCCGGTTGCCATTGCCATTGCCATTGAAGTTCTTTCATCTCGAGATCTCGTCAAGAAATCGTACCAGTATTCATTTTCTACTGGGGAGGTTGGGGGGGGGGGGGGGTGTTTGGCAGCCGCGATCAGCGATCCAGATATTGACCTTCTGATCTGGGCATCATCGATTATGGCATAGTACTAGCAGTATGGAAAAGATGATATCGTATTATAAAGAACTGATGTGACGCCTTTGATTGGGTTTGTTTGAGGATAGTGTGATGATATTAACTTATGTTATAACAAGTAAAAAATAAAAAAAAAGTCCCACAAATTCCGGTTTATGGTGAAAGCAAAGCCAGGTCGGACGGAGGTGTTTGGCCGAGTTCAACTCCGTGTCCGGGGGATCTGATTTTGGGGGTTAAACACTGGAGTGTGTGCGATTTCGAATCGCGTTTGGCGGACGTCCCCAAAGTTGCTACGAGTGTCGCAGCAGCGCGCGCAACCACTGGAAGGGTTTCACCTGTTATGATCGCATACCATACATCGGACGTTATTCATAACTCAGTGATCGGGATTGGGTCATCTTTGCGCTATCAATTAGATCTAGTTTAAGGGTACAGTACCGGGCGGCATCGTACCAGCGCATGCTGCGCCCTGAACAAAGGAAATTTTTAACAAGTGAAAGTTCGACACTCCCCGCCCAACATATAGCCCCTCCACCCATTAATGCGCCGTATAAATACAATTTAGCCCCAAGTATACTCCCAACCGGAAAAGGTTCCTACCTTGCCTGCATATATACAAATTGGTTAACTAAACCTCTATTCTAGACCGAAAAAGAAACAGAAAAACACCGCCCAATGCGAAAGAAGAAAAAAAGGCCAAGGCTGGAACGGGAGATAATCTCTACCGCCACCCTGGATCATCATTCTCCACCCAACTCCGCTCGCTCCACGAGGAGCAACTTGCAGAACTAATATCGGTTTGCGAGCTAGCGGCTGACATCCGCGTTCCGGAGAGCTCCGCTAATGCCTCCTGTGGTTGTGGCTCAATGACCGTGTGCTCCGAGATTCGGTCTCGGGAGCGGGAACGGGTAGCGGTGGATAGGGCGAGAATCCTTGTAGAGGAGCTTCTTGAAGAGGGTGATGGTGGAACGGGGATTATGGTGTGGCTGTATGTCTGCCTGGGGGGAGGAAAGCTCGGCTGGGCGTACGGTGGGGTCTGGGGCTTGGGGCGGTAGTGTCTTGGGAGGATGGTGGAAATGGGCGATTGCGGGTTGTTGAGCGCTGCCTCAATGTTTCGGGACCACCATGATTGTTGGGTAGTAGTTACCCGTGGACGAGGACGGGAACGGGGGCGAGTTGGGAGGAAGGAGAATGGCTTGGAATTAGCGCGGCGGCGATGACAAAAGACAACTGACAACACCACCAAGAGGGACCCCAACACGGCAGAGGTTATGATGGCTGCAAGCTGCCCTGCTGTCAGGCGGGATTTACTCGGGATTGAGGATGCCACGGGTGGTGCTGGGGAGATCCTGGTAGAGGTTAAACCCGGCGATGTAGTGGGGGTAATTAGGGATGAAGACAGTGGTGGCGACGCGGCCGGGGTAGATGTCACCGGAGGCGGAGTCGGAGAAGGGGAAACGGGACTCCTAGTCTCACTAGACACTGAAGAAGTCTCCGGGATGCTTGTCGGCGGTGATATGGATTTGCTCTCTGAAACTCGGTCGTCACTGCGCGTGATACCTACTGGCTCAGCGGTCGGTGGTGGTATATTGTTTGTCACAGCCGGCACAAAGTTCTCGCCCTTTCTCCGAAATCTGGTCTTCCAGTACTCTGCGAAAAGGGTATCGGCGACAGCCGTCTTTCCCCTCTGTCCCTCGCAGACAATCTTGCGGTAGCGAACCATTTGATCCCGTTGTACAGAGCGGTTACTCACCGCCTGATCGCACGTGCTCAAGCAAGCATCCATCCTCCTAACGTACTCCCCCGCGTCCTCTCCGCACCAACAATCCGTCATCTGGGCGAGGTCGTGGCCGACGGTACAGAATTGCACCATCTGTGTCTGGCAATTATCCCCGCAGGGATCGAATAGCGGGCCATAGCCAATTTCTGCGGCGCTAGCGAACAATGGAATGGAGAGCGAGAATAGAATATGTGTCCAGCATCGGCGAGTAAACATTTCTTATGGGCGGGGGAGAATTAGTGAGGGATTAACAGAGGTTGGAAGAAAGGGGAGGAGGAAATGAACTCTGCCGCCTGGGCCGGTGGCCCATTACTGTGGACAAAACAGAGGAAATATTTGAAGGAAGGAAATAAAAGGAAACCTTAGAACGAAGGAAACGACATTAGAATTGTGGTGCTGTAAAGTGTTGCGGTGGGCGGTAATTGGTATCCGCGTAGAAAGCGAGTAAGGAAAGAGTAAGGAAGTAATGAAGTAGGGAAGAAAGGAAGAAAGCAAGGCCAAAAAGGAAGTAAGGAAAGGAAGAAGGGGAAGAAATGAAGGAGTGAAAGAATATTAACGGATTTGTCCCAATGAGGCCGGGGGGGAGGGACTCCGGTGAACTTATGTACGTCCTGATTCTACCCTTTTCCTTCCCCAGATTTACCTCTGACAGGCCCAGCGAGACCATTTAAGATGACAGCTAGCTTCACCGTGCAGTACAGTACTGTACGCACGCAAGTGTCAACCGTACTCGGCACGATCCGCCCATGAACCGCAAATAGAAGGTTGTGGAGATCGTCGGCGCGACACATTGAGGTTGCGTGCTCGCTTGGGTGGCCCCTTTTGGAATGGTCGAGGGGTCCGAGTTCTATTTTGGCGTTGGTTGCTCCCAGCTTGGCAGGACAGGGCAGGGGGGGGTTGGGTCGGTAAAAATAGATTGTTATGATAAGAGTTCTGAAAAAGTAACTCATCCCTGACCCTGACCGGGGGGAGGGAGCAACAATAGCAATGAAGGGTTTGGCTTGGTTGCTGGAGGCGCAATAAAAATATATCGATCCGTCTCATACGGTACAATGCGCGGTGATTGCGGGGGAGTATGTGCTTGTCTGTGGAGTTACTATTGGAGGCGGAGGGTGAATGAACCAACTAATAAATAGATATACACCCCGTCCCTTATCCCTTCATCACCCATGATACTCTACTGTGCTGGGGGGTATAAACGGGCTGCGGTGTTGTGTCGATATTTTGCTATTCTTTCTTCCTTCCTTACTCTCTGTTCTCGGTATTAGCCTATCATACTTGGGAGTTTTTCGTATTGTGCAATGATAAGTTATTTTGGCGGACCCTGCGCTGCACCGCCGGAACTGACAATAACCAACGGTTTCTGCGAGTGGCTGCGGTAGCGAAAATAAACAGCGTGCGTTTGCTGCTACCCTACTGTGAGTGCCCTCCTCCGGGGTGCGTGGGTATTTGCGGGTTGGGGAGTATGATACGGTAAAGTATTATCGTGCCTGACTGATTTGTGCCATGATATTCTGGGAGTTTGGCTGGCAAGTCCCGACTGTACCGGAAGGAGGTGGTACGTATGTGGGGTGAAGTGACGGGAATACAAAGATAAATTAGCAATGTAATACCGGCAGCACCCGAAAAATATACAGTATGATATTTGGGTTTCTGGGCCGGCCAATTGCCAGTGGTAAGTGTATAAAGGGGGAAGGGGGGGAGGAAGCATGATCGTATGGCTCTCTACAGTCCACATCCATCCGTCCTCACTCCCATTTCTGCAATTTACTGCACCAAACAATCCATTTTATCGTAGTCCACCGACCCCACGGGTGCCACTTTTGTAAGAATGTTCACTCCTGGTCTGTTCGGCGGCCTCTGCTGGGAAACCGGTAATGGGAAGGTAACACCGTACGAGTAATACACCCTAACGAGTGGGGGTATTAGAGGATAAAATTGCGATAACACGTGTTCTACGTGGTGATAACGTGGTTTTTCTTTTCCTCTTTAGAGAAGGTGGGCGGGCGATTGTACCTGGAACGACAGGTAATCATATACCACGGAGCATCCTGAAATGGAATCGAGTTGTGGAATTTCGGAGGCATGGCAGACTACTAACGGGCGGCTACCGCACTTTCTGCGGGGAAATCTGGGTATGATACTGGCATTGGCGTTGGCAGATGGGGGAGTAAGCGATTGGCAGACAAATCCGCTTCTCTTTGGTTTCTTTGCGCGGGCGAGTTAGCATACATTGGTGTGCCGTAGACCTTACTTCCACTGCTCTGTTCGCTCCTTTACGAGTACGATAGTCGGCCCCCGGCGCAATGGGGGGCAGTATTATATGTGAGTTATGGTACCGTGTGCCAGGGCAAGAGAAGCATATGCAGGAACCGCTCATTGCTCACCCCGCATGAACTATTGTTTCTTGATTGGATGACTGACTAAGTAAACATGTGAAAGAAAATCCGAGAGATTGCATGCCCCCCCCTTAAATCCCACCCACGGGACCACTCCTGCCGCGTCTTAACTCGTATCGTAGAAGGAAGGAAAAATCTACCTAACCACCGCCCCCTCACTCCCACTCTCACTCTCAAGCCCCTCATCCTCATCCTCCTCATCACTATCACCAAACTCCCCACCGACCAGGTCTGCCTCTTCGTCAGCGCTAACGCTGATCCCATCAGCCCCTCCGGCACCCCTGCCCCTCCACCCGCCCCCGGTGCTCCTCTCACCACTCTTTCCCCCAATCTTGCCGATCCAGCGGAGTATCAGGCCACCAGAAATAAAGTCCTCGCCGTCGAGGATGGCACCGTTGTCGCGGAGCTTGACGCGCTGTCGGCGCCAGTATATCCACGCGAATTCAATGTATAGTATTGTCTGCAGCACGCCGAATACGACGGCCCACGGCTCGGAGTAGTCGTCCGTTGGGTCGTTGTATCGCACGATCCAGTTAGGGATGTACAGTGCGCGGTAGACGCCCAGTGCTAGCAGGTAGTAGCTTGTTATGGCGGTGGGGATGGCGGTGTACCGCAGCAGCGATATTTGTGGGAGTACGGCGAGGGATTCGAGGATTATGCTGAAGGTCCAGGGGATCTGCGGTATCACCACACCTCAGCATGCACCGCATCTCCCTTTGCTTCTCATCCTGCGGGGGGGAAGGCTTACCTGAGTGACCCAATCTCCCCGCACCGTCCTCGTCCAAATGACCTCCTTCAACCCCCAACACACGGGCGCGAGCACAAAGCTAATCCCCAGAACCCCTGCCGCCACTCTCCACTCCTTCTCCTCCTCACGGCTTCGCTTGAAGACCCTTAGCATGACATATATGATGTAGAAGCTCGTGAGGATGTACGTCCACTTGAAGATGGTGATGTACGCGCTGGCGTCGGGGCTGAAAATGTCGGTGTAGCGGGTGAGAAAGACGAGGGAGTAGAGCATTTGTGTGAGGAGGGAGATGCCCTCCGCGCTCTTGCGGAGGTGGATCGTGAGTATTAGGATCGCTATGGATGCCAGGTGGCAGAGGTCGCCGGTCAGGCGGAAGACATTCATGTGGCCGCGCATCTTTGTATCTTTTCCCCTCGCGTGATTTCCTGGAGAGCAGTGAAACAAGAGAAGAGGGAAGGAGAGAGGGGGGGATAAACGAGGGTTAACTCTTGTACACTTTTCGATTTCCTCTCGTAAGATTTGATGGAATCTCGGTGATCTGTTTTCTCGATCGGTTAGTGTGTCACGCTACCGGACACTCGCGGTGTTGCAACTGATGACGGTGGGGGAAAATACCGCGCTACTCTATCCAAGCTTAGCCCTGTTAGCCCCCTGTGGTACGCGTGGTGGCTAACTTGATGGCTGATGCACTCGTATTCGCCTGGGATAAAGAAGTGATGGAGCAGGTCTGGTCGAAGCTATCTCGGACTGGCTCCTGGGGGGATTTTTCGCATTGTTCAATGATGGGGGGTATGGTGCGATGGGTTACTCCTGATACCGTACCGCATCTTGTTGCCAATTGTCAATTTCGGCTAAGTTGGCCATGGGGAGCTGTGGTCGGTGCTGCTTACTAACATATTGTCCAAGAAGGGGCTTAACTTACCCGGAGTTCATGTGTTATCACTCGGAAAGGAAGTTGGGTCAGAGGATGAAAGGACGCGTAGGCGATAGAAGACGACAACCGATGATTAGACGTATGTGGGCGTGCGGGTTGAAGGAGCTCTTTGGGTCGTCGGCTTGGATATCGGTATCGGTAAATATCAACGAATGGTTACTGTAGTCCGCCGATAATCAAGCTTACCAGAATTGGCGATATTTATATTGTTAGCCATTGTTTGCCCATCGCTACGACCCCAGAAATGTAACCCGAATTCTGGGTAAACCAGGACCGCCGCTGTTATCTGGCAGGAACACTTGCAGGGTGCGCTACTGGTCTTGTACCGGGGGTTAAGGGTAAGGGAGGCGAACCTTCTCTAGTTGGTTCTTGAACGAATCAACCGATCAGAGGGTCGGATATTGTGAAGACGTTGCGCCAACAGTTCGCCTGGCTTTTCTCCACATTAAAAATGTACTTTGACCAGTAGAACTCGTTATCTTCACTAGTGCTCACCCCCTAGAACTTCAGTGGGACCTACCGTATTAAACCGCTGTCGCTATCAGGGTTCCACCAGGAGTGAAACTGGTGTAACCTCTGCTCTCGTGAGCGTGGGAAGGTCCACGTTTATGGTGGATTTCGTCGGCTCTTGGTGCAAGTGGTGAGATCTGGCGGCGCTGTTGATAGCTCCAGCCTGGATCCGACTGCGCAATCCCTCTATTCACTCAGACCATAACTTTGCCTGGCTGCTTGCCATGACTGCTGGTAGATCTAGGTTTTAAAAATCGTTGCTTGATCTTCTAATTCCTGGCACACGGGCACCAAAAACACAGAACATGGGGGAAGAAAAACACAGACCCACATGACATTTTTTCCTGACCCATCTGAACGCCCTGTAGACACGAGCTACAAGAAAAAAGTAAAAATGCGTAATAGCCGGTTCACCTCCTATTCCGATTCGCTCACTGTCGGGCAAAGCGAGTGTGACGCGACTTTTTTTTTTTTAATGGGGTGATATTTTGTGACTTAACCACAAAGTAGAAGAAAGTGAGACGCAATCAGGTACAGGTGATAGTGGGAAAATAGCGTGGAGGTTATATTATTTCAAGTACCGGTAGTCTACAAAACAAGAATTTCCCACAGCAGAATATAATAAAGTACATGGAGAGTGTTTCTCTTTCTTCTACATGGGGTCAAGTCACAAAATATCACCCAATTAAAAAAAAAGTCGCGTAACGCTCGCTTTCCCCCACTATGAGCGAAGGAAATAGGAGGGGAACTGGCTATTAGGTAAGAAAAAGCAAAAGGGCGGGAAAGGGGAGCAGGAGGTAAAAGAGCTATAGGGCGAGGGGGCGGGGGATGAAGGATGGAAGATGAAAGATAGCAGGTAGCATAAAAGGACGGAAGATAAAAAAATGAACATTTGCTGCTTCTGTATGGGACCGGAGGCATCCTTGGCGCTAGGCTAGCCATGTATCAGTAGTATGCTATTGAGCAGTTTCTTAGTGTATCTTACTATCCCAGCCACAGAACCAACATGGGGAACAATGTCCGGGATGTATGCATCAACAGTTCGCTTCGGTGTGTATCCTATAAACTATAAGCTACTGCTTCGGAAACGGTGAAAACTTGAAGCCCGGGATAACTTGTCCCAAAAAGGCCAATAAAGTTGAGCCTACAAGGGCCATCTCCCACTGGATATAGGTAATTTTGCCATCGAGTCTAGCAAAGGCGGTCTCAATTCGTGCATTCTAATCTCGAATCGTTTTTGCGAAGGCGGGTTCCCTGTCATTGCATTCCTATAAGTAGAGTAAGCAATCCGCAGACCGGACGAACAGGATATGGGAAAGAAACCTCTCCCCACAGCGGGTGATATCGTGCCTTCCCGTCCGGCCGTTTTCTGAATCCGCCCGGGCACATGGAGCCAAGGGCTATGGTCCGCCAGGCCCCCCAAGAAGTGTCTCGCTTTAGGATGATATAGAGCTCAGATGTGGGGGTGGGTTCCACGGATAGAGCACGCGCGCACGGTCTTTGTCATAGTGATAGGCGGTTGGGTGCTACTAGGATAATAAGTTAAATTGGACTTGACAAAAACGGAGAAGTGGGTTAATTATTCAGTATAGTAGGGAGAGGGAAACGTCTCTCTAGAAACTAATCCGCTTCTCTGGCGTATCGCTATACCAATACTGGCTGGCATTGTTTCCAATGTTTGGAGCTTAAAGCCCCGCTTGGTGCACAATCCAATGCACTCCCCCCACATGCTCCCACAACCGGTAACGGAGTTGGGAAGTTCTATCGTATAATTTATTATCCTAGTATCGCCGAACCGGCATTGGGGAGGGGAATCAGGGGGACTCTTTGTGCCTCCGGTATCGTTCGAAATGAATTAATCTTAGCCGTGGGGGGTGGGAAAATAGCTGGCGACAGAAACAGAAAATTGGCACTGTTGAGGTGAGTGAGAGTGGTGACGGGTAAAGCAAATAGACCTCCAAGGCTGGATGGTTATACTGGGAATTTCTGAATATATTCTTGGGCCCTTAGATAGAACTAGGCGAGGTCCTGCTCGTCCATTTAACTGTAATCCCCCCCGTACACTCCTCGAGTGTTGTTGGGTGGGCTTACCACATTTCTCCGAGGGGGTGTAAGGCTGTCGGTCTGATAAGAACTCTACCACAGGCTTAGACTGTCCCCTATAGTTCGCTGTAGTCACTTGAGGTCACCACCTTTCGCTTGAAGCCACAGGTAGTCCTCTGCTGCACGCACAGTTCTCACTGGTCTCCCGAGTGCCCTGTGCCAACCTTCTTTTAACCCTAAGGCTCGTCCGTCGTCCCCCCCAGTGACGGTAGTCGTAGGACTTGAAAGACGACAACTTACTATGATATATATTTTGCAATCCCGTCCCATCCAGGGTTCTTGGTAGTCACCACGTCCGGCCCTACAGGGGACCCGGACGGTTGAGAATACTGCGTCCTGGTGATCCCGCACATGCCTATCAACTTCCTGGATGCGGTCCCACTATTTCAGCAACCGTTAGTCGAATCAATACTGATGAAATGGATTGCATACCAGGTGACGCTCGATTACGGAGGGACCATTCTCCCTGTCTCTCCCGTTCGGGGGATCAGGCTTGAGAGGGGCGTGCTAATAGGGCGGAGCGGGTGGTTTATAGGGTGGAAAATGACACGCATACGTGTTAGAGCTTGTGGGCTGATAAGAAGCCTACTTATAGTTTTAAGTTCCTATTAGTGTCACAGGTAGGATAAGATGGCACAAGGAACTTAAGGGGCAACAAACGATGGTACGGGCGAGGCCAGATTCGTGGGTGGGTAGTGTTGGGTTGACTGTCGGGCATGCAGTTCAGTGGATAGAGGACATGCGTTTGCAGGGCTTTGGTGTTGGGTTTCCTGTTAGCAAGGTTATCCGTTGCCATAGGGCATAAGGAATCGGGGATCGGGCATCCGGCATGGGGATTGGTACCTTTCACCTCTTATGCTCCTGGGCACGTAGTCCTTTGTTGGAGGTTCATGAGAGCTCTGGATTGTTGTGGGTCATGGAGGATCGTGGTTTGTTAGGATGGTGTTGCTCTTTTGTGTTTGTGGTGTTTCTTTCATGGTTGCTGTTTGTATGGAGATATGGGTCTCCTGTTGTCCTGAGCCAGTATCGATCATCACCGTTATCGGTCATTGATCGCCCATTCTCTCACCATCCTTCCTTGCCCCACTGCGTGTCGAGTCCATCATTATCGCACTTGTGTTGCTTGATTCTTTTGTGCTTTTCATTTAGCCTTCATCCCCCATCTGTGGCGAGAATGGCTTCGTAGTAGATCCTCTGGGAGATCCCAGATTTGTTAAATTTCTGGTTTCTTGGCACCTAGAGTACGAGATAGGTGCTGTGCATAGCTTAGTTGGGCAGGGGAAGTGAAGTAGCGGCTTCGGCATCTGGTCAAGGGGGAATAAGATAGATGAAATATAGAGAGACGGGGGAGCGATTCCGGTGGAGGATGACTGAATGCTGGACATTTTGTTTTGATAATGTCGATTCGCGGTTGGAAGTAGAGTGGTAAGGTAATGCAGGAGTGGGAGGAGGAGATGTGTAGCGGAGGCGGTGCTGAGAAAGGTGTGTGTTGGTGTCTTATGTTGGCCACCGATTGAGCTGGTGAAATCCTCTTACGGGGAACCAGGGACCTCTAGGTCCCAGCGATGTCGGGAGTGTCGCAGCCCTCTCGCCGTGCTTCCGGTATAGCATCCCCTCGGTCTATATAAACATAGCTTTTCTGGTATGATATGATATGATAGCACTAGAGTCGGGAGTGATGGGGCGGCGAGTCAGTGAGAGATTTAGGCTAAGATGATAGGGGGGAGGTTGAGACTGTCACTGAATTCGTATGTCAACCAACCAGATCCAGTCCTTCCTTTCGGAACCTCTGGAATGCTGCATCCGCTTAAGGAAGTGATATATGGTCAAAATATCTTGGGTCCCCTGAAAACTGGCACAATCAGTTTGCAGCGGTATGAAAAGGCACTCAATTATCGCACTTGGCCTGCCCGGGTCTCTTGGAAAAATGGAGAGTAGCATACTCCTGGCGTTCAAATCAAATGCCGCGAGCCGTTGTGTAGTCCATCCTGGATATTACGGTCAACCCTGTCCGAATTTTGCCATCTAAAACCCACCTTTTCACCTCTAGCATAGAGATCGCTATTTCTGAAATCTCCCCAAATTCGATGCAGCCCACTGATTCTTTGCACATCACTCCACCAGAGGTAATCCGACGGCTTCTTTAGCCAGAGAATAAACGCGGATACATGGTTCTCATATCCGTCAAGGAGTCGCAAGGATCTTAAGTTCCCCAGAAACATGTAGCATATTCAAGG